AGAATGAGGGGGCCTAACAGGGAGGCCTGTGAGATCCTTAGTGGGGGGATGTGGGGCTGTGGGGGATAGAAGGTGCATTGGGTGTTGGTACTGCTACATTTTGAATATCTGCTTATATTTGCCTAGGATCTGGAAGAAGATTCTCTAATTTTTAAATCATCTTTTATTTCAGCTGTTCATGCCAAGAGCCTGGTAGCCATCTTGCATCTGCTGGTTGCTCTGTCCCAGTATTTCCGGGCACCAATCCGACTCCCAGATCATGTCTCCATCCAAGTGGTTGTGGTCCAGGTGAGACAGCATGACAAACATCTGCGCCCTTAGAGAGGGATAAAGGCTGAGTTCGTAAGGGAGCTAAGGCAGCCTGGGGAGCTTATTACAAGGATAGTGGGATGAATGCTGAGTATCCTTGATATGCTCTATGTTGGAAGGCATGTGAGTGCACTGCCTGATGCATGTGGGCAGCAATCAGTTATTGGGCAAAGGATACTTGAGTATGGGCTAGCCTTGTGTGGGGCATATGCCTGGGGTTTACATGTTGTCGTCAGGAGGGTGTCTGTGTCCTGTATATTCGAGGGTGTGAGGTGTGTAGGTCTGTGAAGTGTGTGCAGTAGGATCAGGAGGAAAGGTGTATCCGTGTGTGTAAACCCTGCAAGCCATGGAGAGTCATTTTTTGGTTAAACAAATGAGGCACAGATATTGGGAAGAGACAGACACCCGTGCATGTGAAGGGCTGCGTGCATGGGTGCGTGTGTGTTTGAGAGCGAGCCCCTGACAGGCCGTGCCTGTGTTCAGGGCACTGCTGCTTTTCACCTGCCCACAGAAGCATGGCTGGGATCTCAGGTCATCTTTTCCAGACTGTTGGATGGAATTTCCACTCACATATGGCTGTATAATTTCCACAATGAGGGTGTGCTCTTTCCTTGTGACTCTCTCACTCTGCTCCTAACCCCATTACATACTCAAATTCAATTTCATTTTCCAACTCTATGCCCATCTAGGAAAGGTCAGCATTCTGTTTGCTTGTTTCTGTTCTTTTCAAGTAAACATGCTGCAAGGGAGAACTCCCCTAATAAGTAGCTCTCTGGTTAGCCAGGGTTCTGGAGAAGAGAACAATATGGTGGCGGCGCTACCATCCCTTGGTGAGGAAGAGTCCTGAGGGCTGGTAGGCTTTGCCTGACCCCACCAGGCCAAGTCTCCAGGACAAAAGCTGAGCTTTCAGGGATCAGATGTTAGTGAAGGGGAGGAGGTTGTGAGGGTGCTCCTCGATCAGCTGCTCGGCCATGCCCTGGTAATAAAGGATTTCTTCCATACCTTCTGAGAACTTAACTTGCTAAACATCAAGGGGATAATAGGAATGGTCATCTTGGCCCTGCCTGCCAGGAGACAAGACTACACCTAAGGAGCAGAGAGAGAGGATGAAGAGAGGGTCAGAGGGGGTGAGAATGTGTGTGGTTCAGAGGCTAAGTGCAGCTAAAAGAAATGAGCTGGTCTCATGTATTGAGCACTCAACTGTGGCAAGCATTTTGTGTCTGTCATGGATATGTGACCAGCCCAGATCCTCCTGGTACAAGCATCTTACCAGTGAATCCAAACCATCCCTACTGTGTTGTTTTCACCAGTCAATAACGTATAAATTCATTTCATTATATTTTTTAAGACTCTGATTCAAGATTAGGGGGTAGAATCCTCTTGAAACAGTGGCATGAAACTGCAAGCCCACGTTTCACGCCTTATTTTGAGCTCAGTTACAGGTCATTAGAAAGCTGTTGTCGGTTTCATTTCTCTGCGGACCATTTTGTTAGCATGAGGGTAAAAAGAGGGCAAGGTAACACAGAACGGCACCTATGCGTGTCAGGTTTTATGGGGTGTCTTCCTTTGTCAACTTAAACAGGAACAGAAGCAGGACTCAGAATTAGTCAGAAGACACTGACTAAACCACAGAGAGAGTTCTTGAGGCAACAAATAAGAGATCAAGGTGGAATCTGGATGCTGCGTGAGGGGTTATTTAACCCAGATTTCCCTTCTATTCTATACAAAAGCAATGAATTCTGCAAGAAGTTGAAGATGAGTTTTTATGTCCGTGAAGAACCTCACAAGACAAGGACACAAATTCCATTAGCCCCATGTGAAAATTATACACATGTTGAAGCTGAACTGGGAAAAAGTCTTGATTTATCCTTACTGGATCCCTTTTAAATGATATCATTTTTCTTTTTTACTTTGATAATCTGTTCTTCCTAATCTAGTGCAGATATATTCTTGGCCTTTATCCAGCTCTACCTTTCCTTCCATAAAAGCATTTTGCAAGGACTCTCGTTTCTGTGGCTACTGGGACTAGAAGAGAAGGTTCTGGAAGTTTGGGCAGAAGGGCAAGAAGGCAGGTTTCAGCTGAAATGCTAAGGCTTGGAGGCTCCTTCTGGACACTCTTCTCCGCCTTTGTAGATGAACTTGCCCTGACAACCGCTTGCCATCCCCAAACTACTGTCGTTTAGGTGTCTGGGAATGGACTATAGAAACCTGATGAAATGGATCTCCCTCCCCACACCTATCAGAAGGTCTTCCTGAGCCCCAGCACTCCTTTACTGGCTCCCATCCCCACACAATGAGGTTTAAACTCCAGACCGGCACGCAGTTGACTCTCCACCGACTAAGGGCAGCCACCAGCCCTCCAAACATCCTCCCGGACACGTTTGTGCTCTCCTGACCTGCCTTTTCACTGGGGCCATCCCTTCTGTTGGAATATCCTCTCCTCTGTGTCCAGCCAAATCCTCTGTGTCCTGCCAAGTTCTAGCTCAAGGACACCCTCCCCTTGGAAGGGGTCCCCAACCATCCCCACGAAAGTGCCTGCTTCTGTCCCACATTCAGCACGTCCTGTCTGCCTGGGGTGACCGCATAATTGATGACACGTGACACTTCTGAGAGTGAACAGGGAATCCTGCTGTAATAATCGAGCGGCGCCATCAGGCATAAACCCGGACTGTTTCTTGGCAATCTTTCTCACCTACCTGTTTCATCTACCCCATTTTACTCAAGGTCAGAAGTTAGGTCAGACGTTCCACAGTGTTTGCTGTCAGTCCAACATAAGTTCTTGTACAGAGAAGACACTGACTCATGAAATAAAGAAAGAAGATAAATTGATGGGAGGAGGTGGACAGATGATGGATGGACAGACCGATGGATGAGTGGCTGAGTGGGTGGGTAGGCGTGAGGGCCTCCAGAGTGCTTAGTGCTCTTTTCTCAGAGAATAAGCCAGTTACCTCAGGACCGTACAGCTCACAGAAAAGCTCCCCTATTTATCCCTTAAAAACAAAAACAAAACCGAAAACTCTCCCTCTGTTTAAATTCTCCCAGTTGGCTTCTGTCCTCTCCCCCAGCCCCACCGCTAAATGTGTTTCTTCCCTACCCTCTGTGGCCCCAGCTGGAGGGCAGACACACCCTGGCCTTCATTTCCATTCGGTTTACTGTGGATTACTCCAGGAGGCAGTTTGCTTCCAGCAAAAATGTCTTCCAATAAAGAAAGAAAAGATTTCACCGTCCAAGAAACAGCCAACTTGCTTGGAATAAACACTAATTGCCCTTAAGCATGAATGGTATGGTCCAGTCCCAGGAAATCAGGGGCCTCGTTTTGCTTCTGGCACGATCTCTTCTCTGGGTTTCATTTCTTAAACACCAGTAACTTTCTCAATATCAGGAATGCTTATCAGTTTTTTGTATTTTTCTAAAGAATATTTTTCTCTCCTCCTCCCCGCCCGCCTCCCCACCCCTGTTTCAGAAACGAGAAGGAATCCTCCAGTCTCGGCAAATCCAAGAGGAAATAACTGGTAACACAGAGTATGTCAACACCATTGTTGCCAGCGATTCTCTAATGGAACACAGATGTTTCTCCGAAATTCATCCATTTGCTGATATTTAGTTTTCATTTATTGGGATTGCAAGAGGGATTAGACTTCAGCCAATGATTATAGTTTAGCCTTTTCCATGCATTCAAAACATGCCTCTCAATGCTTAAGATACAAACTTGGGTGGGGACGTGGGGAGAGAGAATTAGCCGTGATTGAAAAATTCTAATTTTGTGGCACTCCAGGAAAAAGTGTGCCCAAAAAAGCCAACCAGCATGAAATCGTCATGCCATAAACATGGGGTTGAATTTAAAGTGTGAACCTTCAAAAGGACGTTTTTCTTCCTTTTCTGAATCTGATGTATTTGGTCACATGCCATGACCCAGAAAGCCCTTTTCTACCTCAGAGCAGTGGGTTGGTGTTTTGTGTTTTTTTCATTTCCGTTAAGCAGTTGGAATCTCAGAATATGTAAGAGGTTTGCCGTGGGGAAACGAAGTTTGTTCTGAGGTAGAAAAAGCAGGACGCTGGGGGCAAGGGTCTTGAGATCATCGGGCAGGCCTGAGCCCCGGCCACAGGCAAAGGACATTTTCAGCATCCCCTGCTGCCCCAACTTTCTTCTATATTATCTTGAACAACAGCGAAGTGGAAAGAGCAGAGACCTCTAAGCCAGCCTGACTTGAGTTCAAATCCAGGCTCTGCCACTTGTTCAGACCTTGGTTTCTGTATCTGAAGTGGGGAGCATTTGTGTAACCAGAGTGGTGGTGAGGATTCACAGCTGACCCATGCCTTCCAAGTCTTGCCCAATCTCTAGGCAGCTGGCTTCCCCAGTGGTGGCTGAGGGAGGTCCCCGGTGTGGCCTGTCTGAACCACAATGTGCTTTTGGCTTCAACAGGACCAGGGTAGGGCAGAGAGGGGCAGTGGCCCTTCCCAAGATGCCCAGCTTATGGCCCGCAGAGAGCCTGTCAGGCAGCCTCCATGTCACTCTGGGGGCTAGTCTTGGAAGTCAAGAGGGCACCTGATCCACAAGGCACACTACTTCCCTGGCCTGGGTCCTGTGACATGTCGCTCACGCCCCCTGGCTCAGCCCTGCCCCACACCCCCACCCTTTGCTGGGCTTGTCCACGCCTGTTCTTTCACATTCTGGAGAAGAGAAAGACATACCTGAGAGGAACGTGGCCTGTGAGAAACTCCTGAACCAGGGGACATGGAAGTTTAGGTTTGCAGAGTAATGAGTCAGCTGCCTGTCATGCTTCCTGTGGTCTCCCTCTGCCATCTTGCCACACAGACATGAAGGTGGAGGTCGACTCCTAACAATGGCAACACATAACAGTTTATGAAGCACTTTTATATCTATTGGTACTCATAATAAATACACAAAGCAATGCCTACACCTCCTAAGACCCCATCCCAAGGTGGAAAAGCAGCTGTCCTTGGGCTCTCCAACAGTTAACTCCAAGTTCATTATTCTTTCCAGTACACTACCCCCAAGTTATCATTTAGTAGGTGATAGATGTACAGTTGCAATAAACCAATATGATAAGAACCAAAAACATATAGGAAAAAAAATGTATTGAGCACTTATTATATACTAGGAATTACACTAAAATCTTTCTACATATTAAATCATGTAATGCTCACAACATCCTACTGAGGTAGTTACGTTATCATCCTTGTTTTAGAGATAAGAGACCTGGAGCCCAGAGAGGTTCTGTAGCTTGCCCAAGATCACACAGCAAGCAAGTGGCTCTGTGGGATTTAAACCTAAGTAGTCTGTTCTAATGCTTGTGCTGTTAGTACTTTGCTGCTTCACCACTATGAGTATGGTTGCAATTCCTGCCCTCTTTGAGAAACCGATTTTGAGTCAACGGCAGGTGCAGTTTGGCGGGAATCACAGAATAAACAGGAGAAAGACAACGCCGATGTCCCTAGGCAGATGCCCACAGCAGCCCAGACGGTGCAATGGTTGGGCATGTTGCAACCCCAAGTCCGATATTCCTTCTCAACTGTAAGCAACAGTGGGATTTTACGTAGAGCAAGAAATAGTCCTGAAAGTATCATTTATACCAGGCTTTGTGCGAACACCAGCATATCTCTAGAGCAGAGGGAAGAAACAGGTGGTCATGGGGTAGAGGTGACAGACAATTGGAGACTTAGTGCAGAATAAAATGCCAAGGAAAGCAGCTTTGTGGGCTCTTCAGTGAAGGACGGAGAGAGAAGACTCATACTGTTTTCTTTCTCCTTTTCCTGCAGGGCTCTCTCCGGAAGGCATGGTGAGTTGCATAAGATTATCCTCTGGTGCTGGTGGCTGCCACAGGGGTCTAGTTAATTCTGCAGCAGCTGGGAAGAACAGGCACTCGGCCTGCTTCCTGCATGTGTGTCTGCACCAGCCTGGTGACAGGGCGGCTTAGTAGGGAGGGTTGGCTTACCGGTGGGAAGAGGAAAACGAGCCAGAGCGGCACAGTCCTCCCATCAGTAACCAGACCACTGGCATTGCTGGGCTCGGGATGGGCCCTGGACATCGGCGGGACAGTCGTGCTCTAAGTGTGTTGTGGAAGTAAAGGGGTGGACGTACACACTCGGGACAGTCCACTCTCCCCCTCAGTCTGGCCCTTCTAGAAGCCCTCTTACCCCTCTTTCCTCATCACACGTCATACTGCTCCAGTTTCCCAGAACTTTGCATTTGTTTATACAGTCTGTGAATGTTCGAGACCTCAGTCACCCCTCTGGCAGTCCCAGATTTACTCATCGGTGCAAGAGCAGGAAAAGGCAGGCCCCAGGACCACCAAGCTTCCCAGGCCCACGTCCCTCCTGGACATTCTTCTCATTCCCTGCCTCCGATCCTATCCACTATTTCACCTCTGAGTTCAAAGAGCCTGGGGGCTACAGCAAGGAAAACAGGGGGCCGGGGGCACAGCTTTGCTACTTTCAACGATCCCATATTTACTATGGATAATGTTTGAAATATGCTAATGAACTCAGATCAGCAGACGCTTCAAAGTTTACAGAACGCATGCACATACATTCTTGTCTTTCATCCTCATAACACTCCTGGGGGAGGTTTTGTTTACAGATGGCATTTGACAGAAGAGGAAACTGAGGCGCAAGGGTTGAAGTGACTAGATCACTCAAGAGCAAGAGCACACATTCTATCCCAGAGCTCCCAGGCTCCCAATCCCATCATCCGTGCACTCTACCACGAGGTTTGCCGTGGCTGTCCTGGGTTTGAAAATTAGGGGGTGAGGTGATTTGACGTTTGGAAAACATTCTGCCTCCAAAAAGCTTCAGAAACACTTTAGACCTGTGACAAATCATGATGTAATGGATATAAATAGTGAAGAGAAAGGACCAGTCACCAAGTCAAACTGTCCAACAGAGCCCCCCAACCCCAGCCCAAAAGAGGGTTAATGTGGAAAGTGGAGAGAGAGAAAGAGAGAGAAACAGAGAAAGCCCCTAAGCTAAGAGTCAATCCAGAGTCTCTGCCCCAAGCCCCACTTCCCGAGTCCCAGCATTGTTTCATGCACTGAAGAATTCCTGCCTGTAGCTGACAGTATGGCCACCTTGGCAGGGCCCTAGGGGGGCGGGGGGGGGGCTTCCCCACCAGGAAGCTGGTCTTTGCTCCACTTTACCTTTTCCTGTTTCTCCAGAACGTGATGCCTTTGACACCTTGTTCGACCACGCACCAGACAAACTCAATGTAGTGAAAAAGGTGAGCAAGAGGTGCCTGGGAGGGAGGGGAGCGAGATGCAGCCAAACATTAAGAACCCACGCCGGTAGCTTGCATGCTTCCTGAAACTGGCGTCCTCACCTGCTCTCTGCAAACTCGGGGCTTTCCCACTCTGAGTAAGTGATGTACACTTTACATTCTCGTTCCCACTGGATACCTTGTCCACCCCCTCCTCCTATCAGGAGGACAGTGTCTCCTGGGGGTTCTGAGACTATGAGCACCCTGCCTTCCCATCCACACTGAACCCTTGGCCAACCAGGCCTCCTCCCTCACTCCTCCCCAGGGCACATGCACCTGCCCCTGGGAAGGTCTGGAAGGAGGGACGCGGGGAGGTCATTTCTTCTCTGCCACCCCCTCCCAGGCCTGGACTAGGACACTGCACCTATCATTCTGCCCTCTCGGGACTTCCTGCCCCTTTCACAGCCCTGAAACTGGCTATTCAAGTCACATAGTACATGGGATCACAAACCCTGGGGCTGTCCTTTCCTGGGAACTCAAGGAGCTTTGCAGAAGAGCCTCATAGGCTGTTCCTTCTCAGCTCAGCAGTGATCCCTGCTAGCACCCTCAGCTGGGCCTCGTCCTGTTATCACACTGGTCCTTGTCCTCACAGTAGAGTCACAGAGGTGGCCTTCAGGGTCTGACACTGGCAGGAGTCTCCATCTTCATGCCTGGCGTGTGGTTCTCTTTTAGACACTCATCACTTTTGTGAACAAGCACCTGAATAAACTGAACCTGGAGGTCACAGAACTGGAAACCCAGGTGGGTGACAGACCTGAGTGCAGCCACTGTTCCAAGTACCTCACCCCCGCACAGCCAGGATGGCTTTCCATACTGATCCATACTGATCCTGAAGCTCTCCCAGGAGGGAGGGGCATTCTGTTCTGCTCAGAGGGGTGAACTGCCTGGAATGCTGATTTTTTTTTTCTAATTTTTTATTTTGAAAAGTTGCAAGAATATTCTCATGAACATCCATATACTCTTCACCTACATAAACCAATTGTTAGCATCTGACCACATTCAGGGTCTATTTCTCTCCCTCCACCCCTAAATACTTCAGCAAACATCTCTAAGAACAAGTATGCTCTTAAATAATCACATTACAATTACCACATTCAAGCAACTATAACGTCAAGATGTTCATCTATTTAGGTTGAACCACATAAAATCATGGATATTTGACTACTTTTGACAACAGCATCTGAGTCAAAGAAACACAGGTGTTGTAATATTCTCAAGCTGCTTCTAATGGTCCTGTCTCTTTAGTCTCTTTTTAATATGGAGCAAATCCTCAGCCGTTTGTTTTTTTTTTTGCATGACATTGACATTTTTGAAGAGTGCAGGTCACTAGGTTCATAGGCTGTCTCTCAATTTTTTCCCCTCATGATTAGATTCAAGTTATGCATTTACAGTGACGGTTCCAACCCCAGTAACACTGTGCTCTTCTCAGGCACTTTGTCCATTAGGCCCATTACTGGTGACAGTAACTTTGGTCACTTGGTTAGTCTCCACCAGATTTCTCTACTGTAAAGCTTCCCCCACCCTTATAACTAATCATTATCAGGAGATACTTTAAGACTGTATAACGCACCCTATTTCCCAACCCCCTTTCATCTGCAATGAACTTCGTAAGTATGGTTTTCTTTTGAGGACATGGGCATCTCCTGTTACGTGTAAGGCAATTCCCAGGTCTGTCACTGAGCTCTCCCTGACTGTTCGGTGTCTGTACTCTATAAAGTGAGCTTTATCTACTCATTTGGGAGACAGGGTACCCTTTGGAAAAGTGAGGTGCCCTTGAGAGAGCTAGCATGAGTCTGCGATTCCCACTTCAGTTTTCATGGGTAAGGAGTGGTGGGAGAGGGAGCCTCTGCCAGGCATGATTGGGGTCGGTCTGCAGGTTCAACCACCGAGTCATCAGAACCAGCGGTCAGGGATGGGAATGGTCTAGGTCAGTGGCACTCAGAGTTCTGAGTAACCCTGACCCTAACCCAGGGTCCTCCCATGAGTAGACAGATTGGATTCTTTCATTCTCAGTCCCTTCCAGCCACCACCAAAAAGAGGCCCAGTTGACTCGTTCCGTGGGAGGGCCTTGATTCTGACACAGATGCTGGGGTCTGCTCTCCTTGACTCCTGGGATGAGTCAGGCTTGGGCTCTCCCCACTGGAATTGAAGGCCAGCTGGAAGGATGAAGGGAGGAAGCTGTTCCTAAGTCAAGTTCAAGGCCAAGCAGTACACCAATCATAAAGGCTGAGTCACAGGCCCACCAGCCGGGTCACCCAGCAGAGTTCAGCTCATGGTCCAGTCCATGTTCTAGGCAATTCTGTCTAGTTTTAAGTTCCTTGAGATGATTCCAAGAACTTTGACCTCTTAACTCTTTAGCAACTTGGATTTATGCCCACAAAGATTTGGGGGCCCCCACCTCCTTTAAAACGTTCTCTAATTTCAAGTATGCATCTGACCTCTAGATCTTTGTTCAGGCCAGCCTCCACCTCTGGGAATACCAGTTCATCCCAAATGTCTCCCAGCCCAGAGGCCCCCACTGCCACCACAAAGCCCACCCCACTTGCCCAGCACACACTCTCCTTG